CCTTCAATCAAAGTAGTGCACGATATCGCCACAAAGAAAACAAAGGCGAGTCCAAATTTGATATACTTATCAATCACAAAGTCTCTGTGTTCTTTACTTTTAATATCCCCCTTTCCAGCTTCATCTTCACACTTTGAGCACTCTTCCTTTCCTCCGTGGTGTGTATGTGAATCGTATTCATTATGGTGGTGTTCCTCAAATGCTTCTCCGAGTATTTCTACTATTGAAACAAACAAGAACGACCCTGCGGCAATGCAACACATAATGCCTTGAACTAAACAACTTTGTTTTTCGTCTTCAAGCGAAGCGATGATATAGGACCCTATCAATGCACCAATTGGCGTGAATAAACTGAATATGAATAATATAATAACACACACCACCCACCGTCGGATCTTCTGCATTAAGTATAAGACAGCTAATCCAGAGTCTGCCCACTTGTGTGCTACAATAGCAATAAATATCAACAATGGGTCATTAGAAGCACCTAACCCTAATCCTTCAAACAATGAGTGTATTGAAAGAGCAGTGATTAACACGATAACGTTCATATAATTAGATATTGAATGTCCAACGTTCTTTCCTTTATTCTTTCGAGTGGTTTGGACATCTTCAGGCATTTCTACTTCAGAAGACTCGGATGAGTTTTGATCACTTTTGTTCTCTTTAGAAAGAGGACTAGTCGAGTTTGGTGTTGATATCTCTTTTGTCTCATTTTCTTCTTTTGTATGCAATTCGTGGACTTCATTCAAATGGTGGACGGTGTGGGTTTCGACTTTCTCGCTATTTTCAGTCTTATCGGATCTGTCTGTGTCCTCTAACTCTACTATTGTCAACGACTCAACTTGCATGATATTAGCATCAGTCTCGTCAAAGGAAGTGTGCGAATGTTCAACAATAACTCTGTCGACAAAGAAGATGACATGAAAGTTACACCAGTATAACATCCCAGAGAAACCCTTTGAGTATACCCAGACTCTCATCATCTCAGACCTCAGAAGCATATGCATACCACACT